TAAATAATAAAATTTTAATCAAAAAATAACAAGTTATAAATCATATAAAAAATTATTTTAATTATTTATAACAAGTAATTTATTTTTTTACTTTTGTAAAGATTATTAATGTATTGATATTAAACTATAGTTTAAATAAAATCTTGCATTTTTAATGCTGTTTGCAAAAAAAAAAATAAAATAGATAATTAATTTTGACAAGATCAACCATATGTGAATATGCTGTATATACTGTAAGTACTATTTCAACTATTGTTATTTTTTCTTATACATATTTTCTTTTTTTAGTAATTTTTTACTATTTTAGCTCATTTGATAATAATGTTAATAATAATCTGTTTTAAGTTAACGCAAAAAAAAATTAGAGCATTTTTGTTGATAATGCTGTTTTTTAAAATAAATGAACGCATTGATAAATTATCGTTACGCAACATTTGGATGGTGGAAAAAAAAATTCGGGTCATGCGTTTTTGCTGACAGGTCATGTGTCGCAAGTTTCCTAATAATAAGTGCCTTGAAAAACTTTAAATCTTGGAAGACGCCATCTTGCATCAGGGCAAAAATAATAAATGAGATCATTTTCATCGTTGATGGGAATTACATAACTTTCATTTCTTTCAAAATTAAGTTACGACGCCTCTAAAGTTTGTGTGCGATAGCAAATGCATTGTTATCTTCGTCAGCAGGTATGGCCATTCAAAGGTTTAAAAAAGACAATCTGTTCGTGTGAAAGTGACGTAAGGTAACACGGAGCTACATAGACATCATATTTACGTCATATATGATATATCCCACACTATTTTGAATCGCCACGAAAGTAGTAATTTAATTTTATATAAAACGACGTTTCTTAAGCCCACTTTGTAAAATCTAAAATCTAGATTTCTTAACATATAAAATAAAACATGGAATTTGTATCGTCGCCTTTGCCATCTGATTATATTCGTCATGATCCGAGAATATTCTTCTCATATCACCCTGAGAATACATCGTTTCAAAAAGGCTTTTTGGGAGTAAGCACCTCCACTGTGTCCGGAACACTACATATCCGATCTCCTTACGCTGTTGAGGTTAAAAACATTGCATTGACATTCATCGGCCGAGAGGTTGTGGAATGGGGTGATTTAAAAAAGATAAAAGCCGAAAAAATTATTTTCAGTCAAAGTGATTATCTGTGGGAAGCCGCGTCAGCTTTGGGACGTGAACTCATCACTGACTTGGATTTGCCGTTTAGCTTCGATGTGCCCGAAGATGTTGTTGAATCATTTACTTCACAATTCGGTAAAGTCCAATATACTTTAAAGGCCATCGTTAATCATAAAGCCAAGAAGAAGATAGCAGTGGAGGTGAAAGTACCATTATGTAGATGGTCAATACCGGAAGAACAAAAATTGAGACCTTTGATAATAAGATCAAATGCTCGACATCGAAAAATGTCTCTTTCGTGGCAAGCTATTCTCCCACGCACATTTTTTGATATAAACTCCGAGGTGGTAATCAAGCTGCGGCTTGTTTCGCACAATCCTTATCTGAGAATCAGAAAGATCAGTGCGTATTTAAAAACCTATGTGAATTACACGGTGAAGAATCATGGAGTGTTGCATGAGAAGAGACACTCGAAATACCAAATATATGGAAAAGATATCCAGATGACACCGGTGGGGTTGGATACGGAATTTGAATCGAATGTGGTGGTGAAGATATCTAATAGTGTTCCGCCTACTTGTAAAACAAAATATACTGCCGTTAAAAATCAGATTCATATTAAGGTATCGTTGGAAAAATCGCGACATCCTGTAATGATTATAAGAGATATCACAGTGGGAAGAAATTTTATGAGTTACGGTGATTTAGTAGAACAAATAATATAACAATCCACATCTGCTTCTGTGAATTTATTTATTATCTAAAATTATTGCATAAAAAAACCAAATATAGTACGAGCATATACATATACGATTATCATTTATAAGTTAATTAAAACAATTTGAAAAAAAATTTTTTTAAATAAAATTATGCATATGAACATATTTTTGACATCCAAAACATCTTTAATATGATTGAAGATTGGTAATATCTTACTGTATTATTTTCAAATCATTATAAATTGTTATATAATTGTTTTTTTTTTTTGCCTCTAATCAGATTGCAATTTGCTGTGTTTATTAATTTTTTATAAAAATAAAACAATAATACATTGAATCTTAAGGCTTTATACTAGAGCTAAACTGTGCATATTGCAGAACACCTGTTAATAAGTTATTTTTAGATTTGTACATGATTCTTGAATTCTTAATACTAAGACCACCATGTCATCCATATGATTTAGCTATTTACTAACTATTTCACTACAAGGGAGTTGGTTTATTAGGCTATTACTGTGTAATATTAACTATTTTAGACTTTTCAAATCTTAACTTTCTAAGTGTAATCATAAGGAATAATAAAATCGCTTCTTTTTCAAGACTGCTTCTTGGCCTTAAGGAAAATTATAACCAGCCTATATTTAGGCAGTCATCTCTACATAAACCTGTGGTTCTAAGAAGTAAAAAAAATTTTATTTTTTAAGAAAAAAAAGGGGAATAAAAAAAATGGATGAAGAGTTTGTTCTAGTAAATAAAAACCTTTCAATATTAACTTCAGTCTATTGGAATAAATCCTTTACCATCATCTGTAACCAGGTAAACTATTTAATTTCTATTATTCTATTGCTGACCAAAAATGTTCAAGATACTTATTACAAGACCGACATATTGCTTGAAACAAGACTTATATCCATTGGAATTTATTACTTGAAATAAGTCTTATACTAATGTTTGCTGCTTTCTTGAGATAATCAACAACAGAAGAAACTTCTTACTGAATTAAAATAAGTCTTCTTTTAATCTTGAAAAGAAAAAAAATTAATCCAAGAGAAAAGGGGATAATACTATAACACTTCTTAATAAAAATAATATGTCATCACCTTATTTTTTTTATTATATTCAATTACATTATCAGGTTTTATATTGTACAAGATAAAGCACATAAGGTTATATGTCTTGTTTACATTTTTTGCTACATGTAGATTAACCAGTCCAAAATTTAAACCAATTACCATTCAAGAATTCAGATGTAACCAAAAATTCAGAGTCAAATTGAGATAGGCAAAATTCCTTAGAAAAATCAGAAAAAAAGTTTACACACTTAAAAAAATAGGAGAGAAGCTTGAGGAAGATAAGATAAGAGTTCCAGAAACCTATACCAATTTTTTCTAGAGTCTTGAATCTCTGAAGAAAAAGAGAAAGTTATTTCTCTACAAGTTTTTTTTCCTAACAAAATTTTCTTGCCTTTAACTTTGTAGGTAGATATTTCTTATATTTATTTGCAGAAATACAGAAAGTTTATGTCAAAGAGAGAAAGAAACAAATGGGGGAGACTATTGTCTCTTGATATGAGTGTTATTAATGAAAGTGTATAGACTTTATTACAAGGAAATATAAAATTTCCTTGGAACGTCTGTTTTTTTGTGTTGGCAAAA